TGAGGGTTGCGATCCGTTGCCGGACACGGAAAAAGACAAAAAGGAAAAAAAAAAAAAACCTTAGAATTATTCATACCTATCCCCACCAAGAAGTTGTAGATCCAGACAACATAGAAGGAAAAGATTCCACAATTTAGAAAATGTTGTTGGATCCTATAGTATATAATAACAATAATAACTTCAACAACAATAATAGAAAATATACAGTGTTTAATGTTTGCTAAGCAACATTCTAAGCATTTTACATGTACTAACTCATTTAATTCTCACATCAAACCTATGAGATATCCCCACTATACAGACAAGCAAAATGAGGTACAATGAAGTAATTCACCCAAGATCACTCAGCTAATAAATGACAGAAGTGGATTTGAACCTATACGTCTGGTTCCAGAGTCTTTGCTATTAACCACAATATTATTCTTATTCTTTATTGTTATACAATGATAAAAGGCCGTGTAGACCTCGTGCTAACAAATGCCTTCCTAAAGACAGGTGGTATATTTTAGGAATCTTCAACTTCTTTTTAGCAATGACTTCCATTTTATACTTGAAGTATAAAAAATATTATGTATGTGTGAGACAATCTAGAGAAGGCATCAAAAGTTAGAGAAGGATCAGGGAGAAAGCTTGATTGTATTGTAATGCAGAAAGAAATTATATAAGGGCTGCTAGTCATACTGCAATATGGTAAAACCCAAAACGTTTAAGAGCTATAAGGAAAAGGCTATGTCATCTGTCAACCCACAATCAAGTGGATGAATCATGAAGATCAACAAACACATTACAAATAATAAATGGGAAAATCCACCTAAGGCACTGGCAACCATGCAATATTGACTTTCAAAAGCACTGCAATACATTTTATCTGTAGTTCTCAATTGTATGACAGCAAGCAGAATTCATAGCTTTTGTAAAAACTCTTTTTTATAATAATCCTTATCTAGCTATCACCACTTCATTCCAAAGAGTATAAACAGGTTGTGGGTTCAGACTATGACTTTGAAAATATAATCTGTAAAAAGTGGTTAGAAACAGAGTAATACACCATCAAATCAACAAACATACCATAAAGGGCCTTTGCACTTGTTTTCGAACTGTGTTCTCTGTCCACCTGGGAAAACGTGGGTGATGACCCATAGCCACTGTAATAAAAAATGGTCATTGTGTTAAGTTAAAGTTCAAAGTAAGTAATAAAAATTCAGAACTAGATAATAAAAATTCCAATGCACTATAATTATCTATGTTTTGAAAAAACATTCAGTTTATACTGAGTTTGTCAAAATGAACCAAATCCTGTTCTGGTGAGTGGCAAAGAAATAGAATATAAGAGTTAGTGCAAATCAAGACCTCCCCTCAAACACCAAGTCAGAACTGTAGCCAGGAGGATTCACCAAGCCTGAAACTATCTCAGAAGAGTTCAAATTAGCCATACTGAATCAAGTTCTGCATGGTAATTTAGTTATAACAAGTTTCCAATATTTAAGCTATAAGGGAATAGACACTTTTTTCACAAATACTTAAAATATAGTTAACCTAAATAATACCTGATAATTAAATTTAACCTGCTTTACCCTATATCTAGCCTCTTGTTACCAACATGTTATGTGAAGCAAACACTGATTTATTTGAATTTTACTCATTTATTCAGTAAACATATATTAAGTCCTAAAACCTAGAATAAGGAATATGGGAGGGAGAGACAGGATACTGTCAATAGGACAAGTAAGTAAAAGAGTTACAAAAGAATGTATATCTAGGTAAAACCAACAGACATAACTCAAAAGATCAAAGAAGGATTGATTTTTTATTAAGATGTCCAAGAAGACTTTACCACCAAGTTTACACTTAAACAGAATCTTAAAAAAAAAAAAAAGAAGCTCAATAGACAGCTGAAGAATCAAGTGAGAAAAAGGTATATGAAACTGATTCAAGAAATAACATGGTGTCTAAAGGAAAGTTCATATAATGTGATGTATCCAGAATAGATGGGTACCTAGAGAAGTAGAGGCAGATCGAGGGCTTTCTACATCATTCTTAAGAATTAAATTTGTATTCTCTAGATATAGTTAATACTACCTGCTCTGAAAAACGATGAGTGAAATATACACCACAATGGCCAATATCAAAAATAATATTAACCAGAACATATAACACAATGGCCACTTAAGTCAGGGTTGTGATATCAAGTTACGCCTGGAGCCACTGGGATTGTTTGATCTTTTTTCATTTTATACAATGGTAAATATCTCAATAATCTAAACTAAATGATTTTTGAACCTCCTCAAATACCAATATTTTACAAATAACAATAACAGAATGCTCCAGAGAAACTCAAAGCTCTGAAGTAGGGTATACTCATATATTTAACTATAAAAAGCAATAGTATGTAAAAACATCATAATGAAATATCTTCCAACTACAAGATCACTATCACTACGAGGCTGATGTTTACTTACCAGACCCAGTAAACTTTTAATGATAACATGTGTTAGTAATACAAAGATATTACATATTAATGAGGATGAACTACATGAAGAAATGAAAGTAATCATTTCATTAAAAATATAAAACAAAACCATGAAATCAAATCTCCAAAAAACACATTAAATATAAACCTTTCAACTTACTTCATTTGAGATGGGTACATTCCAAGACCACCGGGATGATTAGAAATATGACCATTCATTGTGGCTTTCACGCCTATGTTCTAAAAAAAGAAAGGCACAAAGATTAATGGCAATAGAAGGGTCATGACACCTCTTTCAAAAGTTATTCATTCAACAAATGTGTTACTGCTAGGAGTGATGCTAGAAACACAAAAACAAATATCTCCACCCTTAAAGAGCTCAGGCTCCAGAAGTACAGATGGACATTCAAACAAAGATCCAATTGTCATTTAACATTAATACACTAAAATTGTAAGCAAATTTACGTGAGTAAAAGAAAAACTGAAAATATAGTTCTGAGTCCTCTAAGAATATAGGCATAATTCTATATTCTGCCCAAACTCATAATCACTTGTCAACGTTTTGAGATGCTATTTTGTTTATTGTTTCATTATAAAAGTAATGTAGACTCATTTAATTAAAAACTTGAGAAATATATAAAAGTACAAAAGGGAAAAAAATCATCCAGCACCCCATCATCTAAAGATAACCATTTGACAGTCCTATCAATTACCTTTCAGTCTTTTTTCCTGCATGTAGTTTTCTTTCTTCCCTTCCTTCCTTCAAAGCACATTTGACAACATCCTATATACACGTGCTTGGATACATCTTTTTTCAATAGCGTTCATTTACACATTTCTTTTACTTTTTATAATGAAATAATTTTAAAAATCAACCCTGGATATTTAATTTCAGAAACTATTTTTTAATCTATTTTACAAGTTGAACAAATTTCTTTCAAACAAGATGAGTAAGAATAACTTCCTTATTGCTAAATGGAATGGCCTGTTCTTTCTCTCTTCTAGACAATACTGCTGAACCTGATTTATGAGTATTTCTATTAACTCCTGGATATTTGGTCCTCTTGGGTTCCATGCTAACCTGTTCTGGATCTTGTCTTATTTTTTCAACTTCTAACTTTTCATATACATTATATTATTATGTCCTCCCAACAACTGAGAGTTAGGCAGGACATAGCCCAGCTTTATTATAGGACAAGGGCAAAGGGGGTGGACTTATTAACAACTGTCAAGTGACTGTTGTGTGTCAGGTACTATGACAGACACTGGGACTACCAAGATAAACAAAACAGACATGGTTCCAGCTAAGGACCAATAGTATAGTGGAGGAAAATAGACAGTTAATAAATATATATATAATTATAAACTGCGGTTACTATTATAAAGGGAAAATTCAGAGTGATATGGGGCATATAATAAGGGAACTTAATTCAGATCAGGAAGGTATAGAAAGACTACGTAAAGAAATGATATTTGAGACTTGGTAACTTCAAGTTAGTTCTTCAGATGTCAGTGCAATCACAATGTCCCCAAGAAAGCTTTTACTGACCTTCCTGAACAGACAAAATCCCACTATCAGATACTCTCCACACCATAAACAATTTTTCAAAGTACTTACCACCAC